CCCCCCCCCCCCCTTTAATAGCTCTGTGAAGCTTTGAAAAAGCTTTCCACAGAGTGGCTTTTCAAAGAATCTGTATAACTTTTTCAGTCATTCTACATGGCCACAGTATTTGTTTTTTAGTAAGCACCTCTCAGCAGTTTTTAATCATGGCATTAGGTAAAATCAAGCAGCAGATTAAAAGAGCCTTGATAAAATGTTTCTAGGAGGTTTTGGTCTTTAGTGCTTTAGTTGCACAATGGAAAATTCTTCGCAGTGTATAATTGGAAGAAGGATTACTTTAGAAATACTTCTGTGAGGGGGAATGTAAGCTCCTGCAGCTTGACTAAAAGACAAAATCTTATTATTGCAAATTCTTCCACTTAGTGAAGTTTAATGGAGGACTCTGCAGTTCCTTTCTGAGGGATGATGAGATGTACTCATTCTGCAAGCCAGTCTGTTCTCCATCAGGCAATTACTGACTCCTTCATTTAAAAGCTTCACTTCAGATGGGATGAATTGAAGAGGTACTTGGAACCTAAAATCCCTCTGTCATTAAGAGTGCTGCACATAAACCACATTTACTTGCTTTCTGAGGCTGGGCTCAAATGTTTAATCTTGAATTACTTATGCAAAGCATACTGGTTTGTAAAAGGGACTATAATTTCTCCTTTGTGATTTTGATGCTTTCATTTGTTTTTGAGGCTCTTTGTAAGCTTGTCAAGACTAACATTGACATCCTACTTTTTGTATTTTTCAATTTGGTAATAACAGTAATTTTTCCTCCATATTAAAATTGAGTTGTATACATATTTAAAACAACAATGAGGCAATGAGGGTTTTTTCTTTTTTGAAAGAGAGGAAAACCCCTGTATTTTTGTAGGTGGAGTTCTTTTTATATACACATGGGTACTTTCACTCAACACGTTATCTAAGCCTTTTCCTTTGTTAATTGTTAAAGAGAATAAGCTGGCAGTCCTCAGTAGCTGCTGATATAATGGATATGATGGAAAATGTTTGCTTCTACCTATTTTTCATACATAAATTCCTTTATATAGGATTTTTGTGTCATTAAAATTTCCTTATGAATTGTTACATCAGGGAGTGGTACAAATCATTTCTGTCTAGTTTACCAGACTTGGGCAGAAGCAGGGGTCTTTTTAGCTGCCTCTGCACTGAAGAACAAAAATCTCCAGATGTTCATGAAAGTCTTAATTTCTTCCCCCTCTCCTTTTCTTCTCCTAAGCACTTTTACATTAATTTAAGATTTTTAAATAAACATATAGCTTTATCTTACCAGACATAGTGTATTTTAAAGTTTTACTCAAAGATGTTAAAAGATACTTCAAACATAATCTGGCCTTCAAAATAAAAGCTGAAGTTTTCAGTTACTTTCACTTCTGATAGTCACCAGAGCAGTATGATACTTGGATTTTACAGGTACTGTCTGTACTGGAAAACTTGTTCAGTGTAAATTAATTTCTGTGTAATTTTATTCATGTTATAAGTGAATTTCAGCTGGTTTCATGTGGCTTTTCTGGAGTTTTATTTAGCTGACCCCAAAACGCTGATCTTTTAAGGTAGACAAGGTCATGGTTAGAGTTAAGGTCACAGAGTCAGGAGTCCTGGGCCCTTGCCAGCTATGCCACTGTTCACGGTGTTTGCACTCAAGTGTGATGGTCAGGACCATCTGCTGAAGTGTTTAAGCCCGAGAGGGCTACAACTTTGTCGGTAGTTGTCATTCTTCTCTGGTAGAAGGGGGAGACTTCGGTCCTCTGTTTTGCCTCTTGCCACCTTTTGCATCCTGTCATGCATCAGCTCTGAAAATAATAAGTCCTTGTTGGAATTACTACAGCTCAATAATGCAGCAAAACACTACCCATAGTTAAGTTTTTCTTGCAATGGGGTATGGGTTTTATGATCTTTAATTACTTCTCTATTATTGCCTATCTAAGTACCACCAGTATATATTGGAAGCAATAACTGGGCATGCACAGTCAGGTTTTTAGAAGAAGGCTTGGCGTTTCAAGTATTATCAGAGTGCTAAAAATAAAGGGAAGATACAGGAGAAATGACACATACTGGATAATTATGTACTTGTAATCAGTAAATTTTTTCTTTTTTCTAGAGTTTGCATTTGAACTACTTGCTCTGTTCAGGATTGTAAATCACTGTGTTGTGGCCTTTACATTCTAATTTAAAATCTTTTCCCTTGTTTCTCAAGATACGCTTTTTTTTTTTCCCCTCACAGCTTTTCGTAGCTGAAGGAAAATGATGGAAGAGAGTGGAATAGAGACAACTCCACCTGGTACGCCCCCACGAAGCCCAGCAGGGGCTGCTGCTGCTGCTACACCTGTCTCATTAGGTACAGAAACTTCCTCACCAACTTGGTCATGTTTATTCATGTCTTTTGAAGCACAGTAATTCATCCAAAGATGTTGCAATCACCATAATTACAGTGGTCTTCTCCAGTCTAATTGGAAAAATTTAAATTGTTGCTTTATTGTGGAAGTGTGCTTCTTGTCTGACATACATCTGACACACAGAATATTTTAAACATTTTTTTATTCTTGAAACTCTTTTATGAAGTCATGTGGATGCACTTGTGTTTTTTAAGGATGTGGGGCCAAGGAAATAATACTTTCTGGTACAGCGCACTGTTAGATGAGCAGCATAGAAGGGAGTTGAAACAAATTTACAGTCTTGTCAGGGATAGTGGCAAACCTGGATAATCACTTGGTTTTTAATATTGTGAGTGGTAATCAAAGCACTTAATCTGATTTTTCAAGAATCTGAACACCATATTCTGAATATCAAATATTCAATTTTCTGACATATCTGGTATTGTTATCCTGAGTCACGCTACTGCAGTGGACTCCAAAGTGGGGTGCCCTTAACCCCAGAGGGTGTGCCAGGCAATCCACTGGGGTACAGGAAGAAAATATTAGAGCTTTCAGTAATATTTATTTTATCTAAAATAAGAAAAATTAAGCTTTACTAATATTTAATATACTGCTCGACACTGGTGTCCTCACTCAGTTTGTCCGTACATTGAACATTCACATGTCCTGAGGGAGAAGTGGATGTTCCATGATGCTAAGGGATTGACACTGGCACCCTCACTTGTTAACACACTTTCATCATGTTGTGATGCCTTGCCATTTGTGTGCCGCCTTAAGTGGATTTATGGGTTATATTATCTAGTTTTAACTATACTAACCCTCACAAAATGAACAAGTGACTTAAAAAAAGATTCGTGCAAAGAGACCACAGATAGAAAATACTGCTAAAAAAATTTAAGCAGCAGCAAACAAAAAGAATATGGAAAAGCTGACACTTCTCTGACTCCCAGTACAAGCTTTTTGCCGTTGTTTTTACCTCATAGTGTGGCTAACAATCTAATCGGATTTGACAAAAAGTTGGCCAAAAAAATTTCAAAATTTTCAAGAGAGGAATTTGAAATATTGTTATGGTTTAGCCCTCCCAGCTTCTCATGAAAATTAACTCTATCTGAGTGGAAAAACCAGGAGAAATTTAAACTTACATCTACCATTGTTAATGATGAACCTTGCCTTAAGTGTATATTGTGCCTTGAGATATTAACTAAGGATAGTGTGAAACCACTATGATTAGCAAGACATTTAAAAACTAATCAGAACATGAAAACAAACCTCTAAAAATATAAAAATCTATTTTGTAATGTTTCAAGTCATAGAGTACTCAATCCAGTACTTAAAAAAATTCAGCAAACTTAATGATAAATCTTTAGAAGCCTCTTTGGAGATTGCTTACCTAATAGTGAATACAAAAAGCTATTTACATTGGGGAAACACTTGTTCTTCCTGACATGGTAAAAATGTCTGAAATAATAAATGGAAAACAATATGGTCACAAGTGGCATTTGTCAGCAAATATTGTTAAAAGACACACAGAAAACATTGCTGAAGATTTGAAGAAACAAGTGTTAGAACAAATTACAGCATGGGGCGTTTGCTGTACAGATGTTCCTAACATGTCTCTGCTTATGGTTTTTGCTAAATTCTGTTTCAATAATAAAATACACAAGGAACTACTATAATGTCAAATGCTAAAGGAGGGATGTGCTGGAGAAGCTATATCTTCAACAGTAAATGACTTCTTTAATAAAAGCAGTGCTTTTATTAAAACTGTGTAAGTGTAACCACTGGTGGAGCAGTTGCTTTGACTAGCATAAAAATGGACTTTAGAATAAGGTTACAGAGATATCACCACACATGAGATTTATTCACTGCCTCATTCGTAGTCAAGTTATTGCAGCAAAGAAACTGGAGCTGGAAGTGCACAAAGTGCTACAGGATGTCATCAATGTGCTTAATTTTATAGAAATTATCTTTAAATAGTATATTTTTTTAACAATACTTTGTAATGACATGGGAGGTGACCATGAAATTTTTTTGTATTGCACAGAGGTTCGCTGGTTGTCATGTGGCAATGTGTTTAAAAGAGTTGTTGAACTTAAAGATGGCATGAACTCTTTTTCTTTTTACAAAAAGACGAGTCTCCCAGATTTGCTGATATTTTCTGTGATGACAAGTGGCTGTCAGCAGTGTGCTACCTAGTAGATATTTTTAAAAAAAAAAAGGGGGGGGATTCATAATTTGTCCCTTCATATTAAAGGTGATGTTCTAACAAGGAGTGATACAGTAACTACTTTTTGTAAGAAAGTCATGCATTTGAGAGAGCGTTTTGAAAATTGATATTTGGAAAGATTTCCAGCGCTAGGCAATCCTGTTGCCAAAATCAATGCAACTGTCACGTATAAAAACGGTCCAATTTGTACTGCAAAGAGAATTTCCTGACCTGTGTAAAAGTCTTCCAAATGAAGAGTTTCAGTGGGTTTTGAACTCATTTGTTAAAAATAACAAAGTGCAAACCTTTTGATTTGTTTGCAAGAACAATTGATTGACATCAGGGAAGGCGGAGATTTGCTAGCTCCGTTTCAAGAAAAACCTTCGTATAATTGGTGAGTGGGAGTGGAAAACAAATAGCATGATTTAGTAAGCACAGTGAACAATGCACTTCTTCCATTTGGATCTATATATCTTTGTAAGGTATCTTTTCCAGCTATGACAGCCATTAAAGCCAAGTATCAAAATAATCTGAACATAGAACCAGGCCTTCAAATTGCTGTTTTGTGAGATGTTAACCCAAGATTTAAAAAATAATGAGGCTTCAATCACATTGCTCACACAATACAATTATTATTAATAATTTTTAATGTACGTTAACCGTTATTAACATACTGTATTAATAGTATATTCATAAAACA